TGCTGCTGTTGCTGCTCCTGCTTTTGCTGGCGCGCCCCCCGCCCGCAGCCGGCGACCGCAGGACGAGCGGTGAGCGAGCGCAGGCCGGGCGGGGCCGGGATTGTGACTCACCTGGGGGCACCTGTGCGCTCGGGCGCCGCGCGGACTGGGCTCCCCACCGCGTCCGAGCGGTCGGGATGGGAACCCGGGGCCGGGCTGGCCGGTACACCGCTCCGAACACGCCTTCTTGGCAGGGGCGCGCGCCCCGCACGGAGATGGACCGGCCTCGAGGACTGGGCTGGGGACCCACCTGGGCCGTGGGAGGGGCGGAGCTGGGAGAAAGTTGCAGGTTCGACCCCAGAGTGGGGGCGGGAGGTGGGGGCGCGGCTCAGGCCCAGCCCGGCTCCATGGTGCACTTTCTCTGGGCGGCCCTGGGCCTACAGCCGGGTGGGCCAGGGTGGGTCTGGGGAGAAGGCCCCCTCCACCTGGTAGTTGGGAACTTTCTGGGCCCCTGGCATTTCTGTTTCTGAGAATCCACTCTCACGGAGACCCAAGGAGGTGATAGGTGAGGGGTTGCCATCCGTTCAGGGTTCTTCCTGGGACAGAACCTCCCCGGACCCATGGGACAATGAGTGCTCTCCACCAGCCCCTGGTGGGAAGGCCCAGATGTCCGCTGGGTAGAGGCAGCTCCCGGAGAGGGCCGCTGAGACAACACCCAGCCGGTGCCTCCACTTCCCTTTCTGGCTCGCGACCCCTCCGCTGCTGCTCTGACATCTTGCTCCTAGGAGCTCCCGTGTCTTCAGAAGCTGTGCCTTCTCAGCTTGGCCCAGCTTGAAAGAAAGGCTGTTTTCCCCCAGGCCTGAGCTCCTGATTAAATTTCTTCCTTGGGCACTCCCACCCCTCTTTTCTCCTACTTCCCCAGCCCGGCGGTCAGGCATGGTGATGGGTCCCTGGTGAGGCGGGGGGGTGGAGCTTGGGGCACCTGGGCTGCCAGGGTGGGTGCCTGCCTGATGGGCCCCTCAGTCCCCTCATCCTCTGCCTGCCTAGAAGTCTTGGCTTCTGGGGTCTGTAGTTGGGAAAGTCTCCCCAGCAGGCACCTGGCCTAGTTTGGGGCACCCCTCACTGCACCCCAGGAAGGGCTCAAGACTTTCTTCCTTGCCCCTTCCCCAGCCCCTCCATCTGTCCTTGCAGGTGAATGTGGGCAGGGAGAGGGGTCTCATCTCTGAGGTCAGAGTTGTGGCCTCCACATCTGGTAACCACCTGGCATGCTCACCCAGAAAACTGTGGGCATCTTGGCTGGGAGCTTGGGAGTGGGAGCCATGCCATACCGTAGGCTGGAGATGGGGACTGGGCTCAGATGACCACAGCCCTTCTTGTATCTCTGGTGCACCTGCTGGAACTCTCAGCTGAACACCAAGTGTCCTTGAGGCTGGCCCTTCCAAGCTGAAAGGTCCCGAGGCCTTGTCCCTGCAGCTCCCGTCCCCTTTGCCTGGTGTAATGAAGATAGCTAAGTTTCAAGCCCCACAGATTCTCCCTCAGAATGGGCCTGGCGGGCCCCTGGGGTCTGGGGTGCAGGCATCTGCCCCTGCCCCAGCCCTTTAGGTTCTACCTGTGCCATCACATCACCAGAGGGGCAGCAGTGGCCTCGGGAGTACCCCGGTGCCCAGCCTGGCAGGCGAGACCTTGGCCCTCCCTCAGCCATTCAGCGGGCCGACCCCCCTCTTAGGCTCCTCCCATTGAATGTTGTTATCTCCACTTGGGGGGGTGGTCACGAGGCTGGCAGGAGAACCAGCTGTCACCTGGCTACTTTACCTGCTCCCCTGAAGGGGCCCAGGCCTGCCACTCCTGAGGGAGGATGCCCGGCAGCCCTGGGGTGAGGGGCACCCCACACCCTGCTGTGCACACAATACTTCCTGGTTCTTCACAAAGCACTTTAGCGTCCATTAACTTGGAAGGGAGCGGCCAGAAGGCAGTGTTGTCCACCTTGGGCAGCCCAAGGTCACTTGAGGCATGAGGCGTGGAGCCAGACCTTAGGCCCAGCTGGCTGCTGCCCAAGCCCAGAGAGCACCCAGGAAGTACCTGTTGTGGGGGCTCCTGGTGCCCAGGGCAGATGAGAGGACTGACAGGGTTCACCATCACCAGCCAGTCCCTTAGCCTGGACCTGGCTGGTGTGCAGGGAGCTGGCAGGGCTTGGAGTAAGCAGAGGGCCCACAGTCTCTGCATGGGGCTGCTTCTGCTTATAAGGGGCCGGTGCTGGGGGGCTGTGGGTGTGAGATGAGGAGAGGGGGATGAGAGGTTCTGAGCCTGCGACCAGGAGGAAGGTGATATATTGGGTTTGGGGCAGGAAGACTTGGTGCAGGAGTGGGATGCCTGAGGGGACACTCACCATCCTGGGCTCCCGGCGCCAGGGGCCGCAGGGCAGCAGTGAGCTTGCTGAGGTCACCTTCACAAGCTGGGGGGCTGACACGTGTGTCCCCACAGACGGGTGGCTCGTGTCCGAGCTCTTCTCACAGACTCCGCAGCGGCTGTCCTTCTACAGCTGGTACGGCAGCGCCAGGGTCTTCCGCTTCCGCGTGCCCCCGGACACCGTCCTGCTGCGATGGCTGCTGCAAGTGTCCCGGGGCAGCGGCCCCTCGTGCTCCGACGTGGAGATCACCGTGTATGCACCTGCCCGCCCTGCCTGCACCCCCACAGCCAGCCCATGCCCCGAGCCAGCAGGGCTGCGCCCTGACGCCTCCCCCTCCCACCCCAGGCACTTCCGCTATGGCGCCCCTCCGGTCATCAACCCCCTGGACGCCAGGTTCCCCGACAACACCTCAGTGGCGCCCTCCTTCCACGTGCGGATGCTGCTGAGTTCGATGCTTCAGAGTAACACCTCTGTCAACGTCTCCCACCCGGCACCTGGGGACTGGTTTGTGGCTGCCCACCTGCCCCCTTCACCCCAGAAGATCCAGATGAAGGTGAAGGGCTGCCTCCCTTGGTTGGGTGGGCCCTGTCTGGCTCTGGCCATCCTCCAAGCCTGACTCTCTGTGCAGGGTTTCGTTCCCTCCTGCGCCTACATCTTCCAGCCGGACATGCTGGTCCTCCGGGTGGCTGAGGTCTCGGTCCTGGAGCCCAACGTGCCCCTCCCACAGACCCTCTTTCTCTCACGCCCCAGCTACCTCAAGTGAGTTGGGGGCCAGGGAGGCGAGTGTGGGGACGTGTGAGTTGTTGGAGATGGGGGAGTGGGCAACACCACTGCCCCCACCATGCAGGGAAGACAGTGGGGGCCTGGGCTGGTGGCCATGCTGGGGGCGGGCAGATGCCGGCCCCGACGTCGCCCTGCCTGCTCCTCTCTTGCCCCTGGAGCTCCAGGGCCACTCACCTTCCTGCAGGGTCTTCATCCCTGAATTCACGAGGGAGGTGCTGCTAGAGCTGCAGGGCTGTGTGTCCAACGGGAGCCAGTCCTGCCCTGTGCGCCTGACTGTGGGCTCGGTCACTCTGCCCCGTGACTTCCGGAGAGTGCTCAGCTGCGCTGGCCACCCCCAGCCCTGCCGCCTGTTGCTGCGCTCCCCGCCCTGGGACCGGTGGCTGCAGGTGACCGCCGAGAGCCTGGCGGGGCGCCGTGCCCCAGTGGCCTTCCGCACCGTGGCCACCCTCACAGGTGGGCTGTGTGGGTGGCAGGTGGGCGGACAGGGCAGTTCTGTCCTGCCTGCATCCACAGCCAACTCCGTCCTCTGGCAGCCTGCAGGCCGTGGACCGTGAGCGCCCAGCACCTCCTGCAGGGCACCCCCAACCAGAGCCGCAATGCCTCCCATGGCCCCCAGGACCCTGTCCATGGCAGTGGGACAGCAGCCGGCCCTTCCTGTCTCATGAGCTACCCCATTCTGCGGGAGGATGTGGACGTGGTGTCCGTGCGCTTCCGGCCCCTGGACAGGGTTTGGGTGCTCGTGCAGCCTGACATGCCCTCCCTGCTGCGGCTGTTCCTCAACACGGGCATGGACAGTGGGGGCTCCCTCACCATCTCCCTGCAGGCTAACCAGGTACCTGCTGGAGGAGGGCCAGGACCCACTAGGTGCCTGCCAGGGACAGGACAGGACAGAGCCCACCAGGTGTCCCCCAGGCATGCTCTGGGTCCATCCCCCATGGATAGGACAGGGCAAACCAGGTGCCTTTTGAGGATGGGCCAAGGCCAACCAGATGCCGACTAGGGATGGGATGGGGCCTACCAGGTACCCCTTGGGGATCGGCCAGGGCTCACCAGGTACCTGCTGGGGATAGGACAAGGCCAACCAGGTGCTCACCGGGGACAGGACAGGACCTACCAAGTATCTCCCAAGGATGAGCCAGGGCCCACCAGGTACCCCCTGGGGATGAACTGGGCCTAACAAGGTATGCCCCCCAGTGCCCAGAGCTGGTCTGTGGGTGACTTGGGCCACAAGGTCCCTGGCCTGGATGATGTTGCCTCAGGCCTTCGAGGGCTAGCTTGGACCACACAGATAGGGTGCAAGCAACCAAGTGACATGGCTAGGTCTTGAGCCAGGTGGGAGTCTGCTTGAGGGGGGAGGCTGTACCTGAGGAAGTTTGGCTGTGGGGTGGGCTCCAGACAGGGATCCCAGGTAGACACGGGTGGCCCTGGCTGGACGTTGGTGCCGCCTCTCTGGGCCACTCTGTGGCCTGGGCTGACCCTGACCATCTCCCTCCAGACCATAGTGAAGAACAGCACCCTGGTGGTGGCCTGTGTGAATGCTGCCTCCCCCTTCCTCAGCTTTAACACGTCACACAACTGTACCACAGGTGTGTGGGCAGGTGAGTGGTGGGTGGTGCTGGGCCTGCCACTCCGGCCAGCTCCAACCGGGCCTTCCTGCCCCAGCTTTCTTCCAGGGCCACCCACTGACCCTGAGCACTACATCCCAGCAGGCCAGCCTCATCATCCCCTTCCCAGAGACAGACAACTGGTACCTCTCGATGCAGCTTGTGTGCCCCGAGAACCCTGGGTGCGTGTACCTGGAGGCTGGGGGATGTCACTGCGTCACTGGGGCTATCCAGGACCAGGGGGTGGCCCACATTCTTGCCACACATGCCAGGCAGCTGCCTGCTCCCTGGTCATTCTCACAGCAGCTCAGGGACCAGGATGAGCCCTGGAGGGACTCTTGGGTCTGGGCTGGTGGAGACGGCAGAGCATATGCCTCCAGGCTGTTGGACCAGGGATGGGTGTGGGGCTTGTTTCTGGGTGCAGGGGTCTGTTGGCCTACAGGGTCACTAATGGGGCCACCTGCCTTCCTGCATGCTGCCCCACACACAGGGAGTGTGAGCAGGCCGCAGTGCACGTGGAGACCACCCTGTACCTGGTGCCCTGTGTGAATGACTGTGGGACCTACGGCCAGTGCCTCCTGCTGCGGAGACACGGCTACCTGTATGCAGGCTGCAGCTGCAAGGCCGGTGAGGGCCGGGCGGAGGCCTGGGGGGTGGCCATTTCTCCCAGCCCCTCAGCCCTGCTGGTGCCACCGGCCCAGGTGCAGGGCAGCCTGCAGGGCCTTGCGGGGGCGAGGCTCAGCAGCCCTGCCTTCGTCTGCAGGCTGGCGCGGCTGGAGCTGCACAGACAACAGCACGGCCCAGACGCTGGCCCAGCAGACGCTGGCCGTGCTGCTGCTCACCCTGAGCAACCTGGCTTTCCTGGCCCCCATCACCGTGTCCGTCCAGCGCACCTTCTTGGTGGAGGCTTCTGTGTATGCCTACACCATGTTCTTCTCCACGGTAGGCCCCACAGGGACCCTGGGGCGGCCCCGCAGGCGGCTGGGTGGCGGATCCAGCGCTCACCCTTCCCCTGCAGTTCTACCATGCCTGCGACCAGCCGGGGGAGGCCGTGCTGTGTATCCTCAGCTACGACACGCTGCAGTACTGCGACTTCCTGGGCTCTGTGGTGTCCATCTGGGTCACCATCCTGTGCATGGCGCGACTGAAGGCTGTCCTGAAATACGTGAGTGTTCCTCCTGCCGCCTGAGGTCCCGGGGGGCAGAGGCAGGATCAAGGGAGCATGTGTAGGGAAACCATCTTGTGTGCATTTAGGAACGTGTCCTTCCTGTAGCTGCTCAGGAGCAGGCACTGTTTAGAAGATGCTGGGAGGCAGGTGATGTGCCGGGCGAGCAGAACCCCGGCCCCTCCTCTGGGGCCTGCAGCTCTGCTCAGGGCAGCCCCCGCCCCCCAGGAGCTCCTAGCCGCTGGTCTTTGGTGCCGGAGGCTTTGAGGCTTTTCTCCTGCAGTCGGGCCTGGCTGATGGGGATGCCTGCCCTCGTGCCCAGAAGCTGCCATCCTCTGCCACACACACGCCCATCAGCTCTGGGAACCAAGAACTACCAGCCAGGGAATGTCCAAGGCGGAGCCTAAGGAAGCCCCTGGGCAGCATCCCGGTGTGTGCTGGACTGAGTGTGGGGGCCATGAACTTGCAGGAAGGGAGAACTGCTGGCCACGGACAGAGGCCTGTGTGTGAGGGACCTGGCTTGTGTCATTCCCTCTGTCTCGTCAGCTCTTTGTGTGTCTCAGAGGTGGTTTGGGTAAAGCACTCCCTACGCCGGGAAGTCTTGTCAACAGGTCCATAACACATGACAGAGAAAACCCTATTCCCAGGTGGAATGCCATCCACACGTGCAGGGCTTTAGGGTTTGCAACACTTGTTTCTGAGGGATGCAGTTTAATCCATAACATTCCACTCTTTGGCCAGCCTCAAAATACACATCCTTCCCACATGCAAACATTCACCCTGTCATAGCATCTCAAAGCTTTTCCATCAACTCCACGTCCCATATCTCATGATTCACTTGATCAAGGGTGGATGAGAATCGGGCATATTCCAGCCCTTTCCACTTTGAGACCGTGAAATCCAGAGCATGTTATCTGCTTTCACAGGACTGTGGTGGAACAGACACAGGGAGGATACATTGCAAATGGGAGAGATGGCAGGCGCCACGCAATCCCAAACCCAGCAGAACAAACTTCATTGTGGCTCAAGGCTTGCTGTTTTCTTCTTTCTGTTGTGATTTGGGTGAAAGTTTACAGGGCAAATTCATTTTCCATGCAGTAGTTCATACACATTTTGTTTCATAACATTGACTGTTGTCTCAGGACTTAAGAATAGTCCTGTTTGCTGGGACCATGTGGCCAATGGCCCCACCCCTCAGACACCAGGTGTTGGCCATGCTGTCTGTATTCTGGGTGGAGGCTCTTCCGCCCTGGGCATCATTCCTGCCCTCAGGCATACTGGGACAGCAACTCTGCTCTCTCAGCACTGTGGCCCCATTCTCCTAGTCCATTTGAGTGGCCACCCCGGCCCTAAGCTCTGGTAGGCTCTATTCCCTTGTCGCTCGAGAATGGCAGCCCTGCCCCCTCAATTATGGGCAAAAGTCTCATCCTCTGGGCCCACTTGAATGGCAACCCCACACTCTAGAACCTAACGAAACCCACTGCTATCTAGTTGATTTTGACTCACAGTGCCCCCACAGGACAGAGAACTGCCCCCAGAGGGTTTCCAAGACTGTACATCTTTACAGAAGCAGACTGCCTCATCTTTCTCTCACTGAGCAGCGGGTGGCTTCAAACCACTGACATTTTGGTGTCCAGCCTAATGCGAGATCCTCTCTGGAATCTAGCAGGGGATTTTCCAACCTTTGAAACACAGGCAGTTGTTGAGTCCTTTGAAATGGAAGCAGCCTTGCACACCACAGTTCCTTGAGCAGTTCTCCTGACCTTCTCTTGTGGGACAGCAGATGTTTGGAACTAAGTCACTCCATCGGCCTGTTTCTGGCTACAGAATCCCAGGAGGCAGGCAGCTTTCCTTGGTTTTGTACTGTCTCTCTCCTTTTCAGTCTAAGCTGATGGGATCTTTACTTAGATGGTTGGACAGATCCACCAGTCATGGACTTAATCTCTTAAACAGCAAATCGAGTGGCCACGTCCTTGGTAGAGTTTGAGGACACATATCCTCAGTTCATACAACAGAATGGTTCAAAGTTTTGTCTGGTTTTCATCTTGCACAGTTCATTTTTAAGTCCATCTCTTCCCTCTCCCATTTTACTGTAAGCGGTAAGAGAAACCACATCGCCCCTTTAAGAACTTGCTTAGGAACTTCAGCCAAATACCCAAGTCCATCACTTAACAAATTCTACCTTCCACTGTGTTTGAACATTATTTAGACAGGTTCCTTACCACTGCATAACAAGCATCACCTTTTTCTGCAATGTCCAAATAAATGTTCATCATGTCCTTTGAAAGTCTCCCCGGAAGACTTTCATGTCCACATTCCTGCAACACGCAGTTCATGACAACAGAAGGTCTCAACCAGTTCTCGATTCCCTCTGAGCCTTCATCAGGATGCCATAATCTACCAGCATCTCTTCATGGCAAACTAGGCCCTTGTATGAGGCACTTAAGATTCCTCCAGATTCACCCATCACCCAGTGGCAAGTCGACTTCCACGTATCTCAGCAGCACCCACTAGTACCAAGTTCTGTCTTTGGCGTCCCTTGGCCTTCACGTGGCCTGTGTCTTACCCTCGTCTGTGCTTCTTTCTCTGCCTGATTGGCTCTTCCAGTATCTTAAACTTGACTGGTGTAAAGCACATACTACACTGATGTCCTACTAACAGAACAAAGGAAGTCCTATGCCAAATGGGATTGTATCACCTGTACTGGGGTTTAGGGTTTACATCACATATATCTGAGGGAGACTGAGGCTGCCCTGCTTGGAGCCCCTGGAAACTCAGGGGTGCACAGCCTTGGGGGGAGGCACCATGTGGCTGTTCTGTGTGTGGTACGGTGGGTGGATGAAATTGGCACCACCTTCTAGTTCCCCCTAAGGCCCCCTGCCTGGCCAGCAAGTCTTGGTGTGTTATGCACATCAGGCCCCTCTCTAGCAGGTGAGGGACCCAGCGGTGTGGGAGCCAGCAGCAGAGTGGCTTCCCTCCCAGCCAGTACAGCAGGGCGGGGGGACAATGGTGAGGACTAGTAGACCCACTAATGTGCCCAGACCTGTGCTCCCCCCAGCCTCTGCACCCATCTCTGTCTACAGGTCCTGTTTCTCCTGGGCACACTAGTCATTGCCATGTCCCTGCAGCTGGACCGCAGGGGCGCCTGGAACATGTTGGGGCCCTGCCTTTTTGCCCTCGTGGTCATGGTCTCCATGTGGGTAAGGGACTGGGGCAGTGGGCACTCCTGCCACACCCTCCAAGCAGTGTGCAGAGCACAGCCTGGCCTGCAATGACAGTGTGAGGCTCCCAGCAGGCCCCCATTCTGGGAGAAGAGTGCAGCCTCCAGCACCTTGTCTGATATCATCCAGATGTTGAACCCCCAGCCCCCCCAGGCATTGGCCTTGGCCACACCTTAGGGGCCCAGGATCCTCCGTGCCTGAGGCCTGGACCCAGCAGCAGCGACATTTGTGTTTGGGACCCCCCGCCCAGCCCCCCCTCCTGCTTCCAATGCCTAAACCCAAGCAGGGCCCTGTGCCCAGTGCTCCACCCACCTACTGCACCTGTTTGCTCCAGGTGTACCGCTGCGGGCGCCGGCACCACTGCTACCCCACGTCTTGGCAGCGCTGGGCCTTCTACCTACTGCCGGGCATCGCCATGGCCTCCATGGCCATGGCCATCTACACCTTCATGATGACCAGTGACAACTACTACTACACCCATAGCCTCTGGCACATGCTGGTAGCCGGGAGCGCAGCCTTCCTGCTGCCGCCATGTGCTGAGCACAGTGAGTGCTGGGCCTGCACTCAGGTGTTCCCCTGCCACTACCAGACCTGCAGGAATGACCGCGAGGAGCTGTATGCCGTGACGTGATGGTGGCAGGCGGGTGGGTGAGAGCCCTGTCCAGACAGACTCCCAAATGAATAAAAGTGCCCTGAGCAGCCTTCTGGCTCCGTTCTCCAGAGAGAACACCACCCCCCTCCCACTTTGGCAGGACTCCCTGGGGGCCACTGACTCTGGTGGTCCCAGAAGTCTGTGGCTGATGGGGCTGAAGTTGGTTGGCAGGGACTGAGTGTGGGCTGCACAGGCCTGGTGGGAGGGTGGCTTCATTGGAGCTGGGAGCAAGCCCTCCCATTGCCCTGTCCACGTGAGGCTGTGCTCTGGTTGTGGGGCAGGATGGCTGGAGCCCACCTTCCAGGGTGAGAGTGGCGCCCTTGAGTGCTAGCAGCAGAGGCGGGGAGGCTCCCCCTTTGCTGCCATCACCCTGGGGAGAGGTGCCAAGGTCACAGAAACTGATGGCCTGTGGGGGTGCAGGGCCAGCCCTTCAGGTGGTGACCTTCCCACTGGGGTGACGCATGTTTCCACGGGGTGTGGCCCCAGAGGACGTACCAGGACTTTAATAAGTCTCTGGGTTCTAGACCCTGGACCCCAGCCCACCTTTGTCCTTTCTTCCTGGGAAACAGGGGAGAGGGGGCTGATGGTCTGTGGACAGCACCCAGCCCCTTCCCAAAGCCGGGGTCACGTCGGCTGGTTGCTGAGCTCGGAGGGCTTGGCTGAGCATTGGGTGGAGGACACAGCCTGCCCCGGGGGATCCCCCCAGTCACCCCACACTTGGCCATTGAAGCATTCTCTAGGCTTGTAAAGGGGCGGTGTGTATACTGGTGTATAGAATCGGTGTATGTTGGGCATAGACGTTTTTCTAAAGACATTTTTATGTAGCTCTTATTTTGCTATGGTCGATTTAATATAGTCTACAATGATTTCTCAAGCCGAAAGAGGTCTCACGTTATTTGCGCCTTTCCTTGGGCCAGGGGACGGGTTAAGTCCGGCCTGGTACCAGACCCGGTTCACACCGGCCCAAAGCCTGGGACCAGTCGGCCAGCGCCGCCGTTCGCGGGAAACGCAGAGCCGCACTTTGCCAACGGTACCTTGAGCATCCGCTGCCTCCGCGGTGCATTTTTCTACGATCCCTAAAGTCGGGGGGGTGGGACGAAGGCCCGATGGACGGGGTCTTCAGCCAATTAGCGGTGGGGAAGCGGGCACACGCGCGGCTTCCGGTTCCGGCGGAACCCGGAGAGGTGTGCGAGCTGGAACCGGGGTGTAGCTTTGGTTTCGGGCCCGGGGCCGCGGGGTGGGGGTCGGGGTCGGGGTGGGGGCAGGTGAGCGTGAGATCAGGGCGGCGACGGTGGCGGAGTGAGGACGAAGCCGGGCGGCCGGGTGCAGCCCGGGCTGCACTGACTGCGCGCTCGTCCCGCCAGCCGCGCCGCCATGCCCCTACACAAGTACCCCATCCACCTTTGGAAGCAGCTCCGGCTGCGGGACGGTATCTGCTCGCGGCTGCCCCAGCACTACCTGCGCTCGCTGGAGGAAGCGCCCACGCCCACGCCCGTGCACTACAGGCCCCACGGGGCTAAGTTCAAGATCAACCCCAAGAACGGGCAGCGGGAACGCGTGCAGGATGTGCCCATACCCCTTTACTATCCCCCCGAGTCCCAGCGGGGGCTGTGGGGCGGCGAGGGCTGGATCCTAGGGCACAGATACGTCCGGAACCATAAGGTGGGTAGCTGGGCTGGGGGCCGCAGGGGGCTGCTGGACGCCAGTGATGCCGCAGAGCAAGGGGTACACCGGCCAGCCCTGCTAGGGACCCAAGTGTCAAGAGCACGCTGGCAAATGAAAACACAGATCTGGCATACAGTTCCCAAGACAGGGAGGGGGCAGCACGTGCAAAGGCCCTGGGGTGGTTGGGCAGGGAACATTAGACCCGGGTCCCCGCCAGCTGGACCCCTTGTAGCTGCTCAGTTCTCATGGTGTGGTCCAGGCCAGGCTGCGACCTCTTCTCCACCCTTAGCTGACATTGCCTCAGAGTCAGCAGCTTGCAAAGGGCAGACATACCAGCCTGCCCTTGAAGGGGTTCTCGAGGGACTCTGCAGTCTTCCTGGGCAGTGTTCCCTTTTGTCTTGGCCTTGTGGTCCCTGATTTGCAACATGACAACTATGAACCGTGGTCTGTGTGTGCGTTTGGAACACACACCAGCTACCTGGGGCGAGAGCAGACCCCGGGCAGCTGACTTCTGGGGCAGAGGGGCTGCACCAGGCTGGAGCCTGGAGGGAGGGAGGATAAGGGACCAGGAAGGGGACGGACAACCGCCCTCAGGGGTCTCACTGCACCCGCAGCTCTCTAAGAGGGTGCAGAAGATTTGGAAGCCACAGCTGTTTCAACGTGAGCTGTATAGTGAGATCCTGGACAAGAAGTTCTCGGTGACCGTGACCATGAGGACGCTGGACCTCATCGACGAGGCCTATGGGTTTGACTTCTACATTCTCAAGGCATGTGTGGGGTGGGGGTGTGGGGGCTTTGCAGCGGGCCCTGCAGGAAGCTGGGGTGGGTGGAGGACCACTGGGGGGAGCATGCTAGGGGAGAGAGGCAGGGAGCAGGGGGCTCTGCGGTCGCACCTGGCCCCACGCCCAGCCTCCCCCAGACCCCGAAGGAGGACCTGTGCTCCAAGTTTGGGATGGACTTGAAGCGCGGGCTGCTGCTGCGTCTCGCCCGGCAGGACCCGCAGCTACACCCCGACGACCCTGAGCGGAGGATGGCCATCTACGACAAGTACAAGGTGAGGCTTCGCCTCCACCCCCCAGCCCCTTGCAGCCCCTGCGGCCAGTGGGCAGACCCTCAGTGCACCCTCCCCGCCCTGCTGTCCAGGAGTTCACCATCCCTGAGGCCGAGGCTGAGTGGGTCGGCCTGACATTGGATGAAGCTGTGGAGAAGCAGAGGCTTCTGGAGGAGAAGGTGTGTGTGCAGGTGGGGACGGTGGGGGCCGCCGGCCTGGGTCCCACTGGTGCACTCCTCACCCCAGCCCCTCTAGCTGGCGGCGTGGTGGGGAGAGCTGGGTGCTGGCTGTCAGGGTGTCCTTGCATCTCCCCCAGCATTCCCCAGGACCTGAGCACTGACTCCCATGTCCCCAAGGGGGTCTGATGTCAGGGGCAGGGCTCTCTCTCAGGGTCCAGCAGGCACGGCTGGACTCCTGGCCCCAGCCCGTGAGCACCAAGTGTTTGGGGCTCTGGTGTTCACAGCACCAGGTAACAGCAGCCCTGGGCTGAGGCAGGTGGAGCAAGGCCTCTGGGTCCTCACCGGGCTCCCTGAGCAGCCTGTCCTCATGTAGTCCCCTCCTCCGTAGGACCCCGTGCCTCTGTTCAAGGTCTATGTGGCCGAGCTGGTGGAACGGTTTCAGCGGCAGGCGCTGGCTGAGCCGGCAGTGCTGCAGAAGAGGGGCATCCGGGGGTAACGTGGCTCCGTGGACTCCGTGGATGGAGCGCCTGGGCCCATGGGGCCACCGTGGGCAGCGGGCAGTGCCAGCCCGTGTGTTGCCCTTGGCCGCGAGGCCCCCGGCTCGGATGAGCTCACGTGGCTGGGGAGCCTCTTACTGAAGGATTCTGGGGGCCCAGGTGCTGGCTGTCGCTTGGCTCCTCTTGCCGTGGTGAGGCCCAGTCCCCCTGCGTATCTAAGGCCCTGCCATGGGGCCAGCACACCCCAGGGAGCCCTCCTGTGCCTGTGGGGCAGGAGCAATAAAGTCTGAGCCGGGCCCTGTGTTCGAGTCCTTCTTTACCAGGCCAAGGGGCAGGAGCAGGTGGGTAGCGGTGCACTCCACTCCAGCTACCCCCTCCACAGTGGGATCTGCCCTTTGGGAAAGGTCCATCTCAGGCTCCATTATGGGACCGAGACTGGGAATTGAGGGTGCCTTTCCCCATGACACATTTCTGCCTAAACGTTCTGGAACATTTCACTAGCTCTGTGTGGGACAAGCTCTCAGGAATGGAGCACGCCCGGCGGGAGCCTGGCCCCAAGAGCTCTGTCTGGGGCCCAGGAAAGTCCTGCTGGTGGCGGGTGTGTGTGTCGTCTCTACAGGAAGTCAACCTCAGGCCTCTGCTCCCCACGGCCCAGCCCGGGGCAGGCCAGGTAGGAGTGTGGAGGGGATATGGGCTGAGCCACCAGATAGATTGCCTGAGGCTCTTGCTGCCCTGAGATTTGGGGAGTGCCCCAACTCTTAGGGGTCTTGAGCACTGAGGTCCTCTTGAGGCCTTGGGGAAAGTATACCCCCAAAGCTGCCCTACCCAGACTCTAAAATACCACAGCCTCTGCCGTGTGTGACTGTAGTGGTGATGGATGCCCCTCTCTCCCTCCCCCCAGCCTTTGGCTTGTCACTTGGGAAGGCTGTCTGTCACTGACCCTGACACTCTGGGCATCTTGGGCTGCATGTCCTGCCATTCCAGCTGGAACTCCCCCCAACACAAGTAACCACAATCACCCTGCTGTGAACCACTTTAAATTTTGTTTTGCTGCTGGTCTCAGCGCCTGGGGCAAGCCTTACTTGAAGTCCTTCTCTCAGAAGTGCGTGTACACACACATACAGACACACAGACATTCAACGGTTGGTACGGGAGCCTCCGCCACCCAGCCATGCCACTCACTCCTCTGAGGGGACCCTGACGTGGGCCCACAAGCAGTGTTGCCTGCTCCCTTGCCAGTCAGAAGTGGCTTGGAGCTGTCACGGGCTCATGGCAGCGGGCCTGGGCCTGGGTCTCTGGGTAACAGTAGGCCAGGCTCATTTCCGAGTCCAGTCTTGCACTGAGTCTTGATGCTGCGACCAGGCCCCAGGCCTGGGGGCCATCTCGGGCCGTGGGCTGCCTGCTGGTGTTGTGTGGCCCCCTCGCCTGTAACCTACAGTGTCTCTCCCTGGTGGCTGGGCTGCTGTGTGGATGCACCCATCTGTGGAGGAGGTTGCATCCAGCGAGACTGCATGGCTGGCCCTTGAGTCCCTGGGATCACAAGCCCCTTTTAGGGGAGTGTCATCAAATTCTTACAAATGTCCTTGACTCGCAATCAGACCCATCCTCTCCCCACAGAACCAACCCAGGTTCAGGGACAGGCACCTGGGGCTCCTGCTGCTCCACTCCCAGAGGCAGGTGTGTGTGTGGGGAGGTGGACATGCTCAGACATGCATATAAACACATGCCTACAGTCACACATGCACACATGCTGAGACATATACGCACTAAGATGCACGCATACAGACATGCTCAGGTGCACACTACACACCCAGACGTGCACATGAACACTCAGACACACAGTGCACATGCTAAGACACAGGCAGGCATGCTCAGATGCATACATACTACACACCCAGACGTACACACACAAACTCAGACACATGCATATACGTGCACAGAAACATGCTCATGGCCACAGGTCCAGGAGCTGAGCTGTGGGAGCTGGTTGGGAAAATGCTGTACCTGCCACCTGCCCTCTGTATGTCCCCCACCCCACCAGGCTGAGCCCCAAAGCCACCTTCCACTCCATTTCTGTCCCCTCCTCGGACCCCACCTCTCAGTCTCTTTCCTGCTGCTTTTCTTCCTTTTTGAAAACTTCTGGCCTCCCACCCCCTGGAGCTTCCAGCCCCCCTCACACATACTCCCCACAATTCCAAACCCTTCAGCTCCTGGAGTGCCTCGTACCCCTCACTGAGGCCCTGCCACCCTTCAGTCCCTGGCGGGGGGGGTCTGTACTGATCAGGGTCAAACTTGCAGAGGCCACCTGCCTTGGGAAAGTGGACCACAGCCATGATCTCATCCCCACACCAGATAGGACCCTGGGGGCCCAGCACCCCCTCTCACCCACCATCCTCCTGTTCCAGTGATTGGCTTAGACGTGTGTTTCCTTGACAACGGTCGGTCTCAAAGTCAAAGGGTCGGTGGCTTTGCTGTGGATGAGGGTGGACTGTGGCTGCAGCCCGTTGGCTGGCCAGAGGTGACAGTGTGAGCAGGGGTCCCTGGGGGTGGGGTGGGGTGGAGCCTCCAGCACGAATGCACGTGGTGACACCGTGATGCCCCAAGGCTCTGCTGTGTCCACTGTGTCCACCCTCTGATCTTGATGTCCCAGAGTCCTGAGGAGGTTGGAAGGACCCTCCTCATCACCCAGTCTTGTAGATGGGACAGCTGAGGGAGGGGTTTGTACAGCTGTGCAGTGGGGGAAGCTGAGTGAGAAGCTGGCCTGGTACCTAGCCCAGGTCTCTGCCTTGACCCTGACCCTGGCCTGCCAGGTGCTGCTGAGGTGGGTGGTGGTGGCAAGGTGCTGGAAGGAGGAGGGATGGAGGGCGGTCCTGCTTCATCACCCAGGCAACTTCACCTGCCTGGGCCCCGCCAGGGTGCCGAGGGCCCAGGGAGCCCCGGGCAGGTAGCAGCATGCACCTGCCTGACCACCGTCATGTCCACGACCACTGCAGCTGCTGTGGTTGATTGCCTGAGTGTCCGCCACCGTCCAGCCACAGCACAGACCAGGGGGCTCCAGAGGCAGCCTTAGTCGGCAGGCACAAGCAGGCCCAGACCCCGCCAACTCTCCTTCCCTCCAACACTGGCCGGCCACCCCAAGCTGCAGCTGGGTCCAGAGAGCGTGCAGCTGGCCCCACACCACTCCTCTCCTCTTGACACCCCAGAATGGGCCTGCACCCCCAGATCCTCCTCCCTGGGCTCCCTCATACCCTGCCCTGGTATAAGTCCTGCTGGCGCTAGCCAGGGACTGGGGGCTCACCCTTCTGACCCTGCTGTGTTTCATGACAGGGTGGCCCAGGGCTGCATGAAGAGGTCTGGAGGTGAGCCCAGGGGCCAGCCAAGCAGCTGTGTCCTGTGGCTCTGAGCCAGGCCCCCTGCCTTGCCTGAACGCACTCCCCAGAATGTGTGACCTCATGCGTCTGCGTCCATGCTTCTCCTGCCGTGGGCTTCTCTCCACCTACCCCCTTGTCCCTGACGCGCTCCCCCCCCCACACTCATGCCTGCTGCCTTGCAGTCCTGCTGCCGTATTCACCTGTCAATCTGGCAGGTGTAGCTGGGCCAGGGTCAGGAAGTGGGGTGCTGCCTTCGTGCGGACCCAGGCTGCTGCCTCTGGAGGTATTTAGACAGACGTGGACTCCAGAGATGCTCCACGGCCCACACCACGGTCCAGGGAGTGAAGACCCCAGAGCCTCGCTGAGAAGCCAGTGTCTGGGCTGCAGGTGGGTTACAGGGCAGAACAGAAAAGATCAGGACCATGGTCATGGGGCACACCTGGTAGTCACAGGGCATGAGGCCTGCCAGAGTGGGGAGATGAGGCGGGGGGCTGGGCTGCACTGGGGGCTCACGTCTGTGTCACAGGTGGTGGCTGGTAGGAGTATGGCAAGGGGTCTTTTGGGGTCTGAGGCCGCCAGTGCTTGACTCTGCTCACCTGAGATTTCTCCATTCCCTTCTTCCCACTGCCTTGCTCAAACCTGGGCCTGGTCTCAGACCCTGGGGCAAGCCTGACCTGCAGTCCTCCTCTCAGTAGGAGTTGCAGAAGGGCTGGGGGCCACTGCTCCTTATCTACCCTGGGGGTTCAGGCAGAGCTGGACTGGCCTACCAGGAAAGACAGGGACCCCACATGGGGTGCATACAAAAACAAGCCACCACACGCAGACATTCAACAGCTGGTGCGGGGGCTGCCACACAGCCATGCCACTCACCCCTCTGAGGGGACCCTGGTGTGGGCCCACCAGCGGTGCTGCCTGCTCCCTTGGCAGTCAGGAGTGGCTCGGGGGTGGCGGTGTCTAAAGGGGCTGGTTGCCATGGCTACCATAGGGTTCTGAGGCCCGTCATCTGGTCCCTGCCTCAGCCAATCGGTGCGGGAGCTGGAGCTGCAGCCCAGAGTCACACTTCTTCCTCCAGCCACGCAGTGGCCACGAGCCGCCCGCTTCCTGGAGTGGCTGTGAGCGCGCGGCTGGCCGGGCCCGTCATGGCGGACAGCGGGAGGGACGGGCGCGAGCGGGCACATGGACCCAGGCAGGTGAGGTAAGCTGGTGGTGGGCAGATGGACAGATGGATGGACAGGCAGGTGGGCGGTGAATAGGTGGATGCCCCCCCGTTGCCCATTGTTCTTAGAGCCGCGGCCCTGCCCTTGGCTGCCCTGGCCTCCATGCCCACCCCACACGCACACACACACACCTGCACCTTCACCCTGGACCCTTTCCTCAAACGTCCTGAGGAAGGGTTGTGGGACGAGAGACAAAGGCGGCAGTGACAAGAAGTGGCGGCACGAATCCCACTGCGCCACGGCCCCCAAAGTCGCCCTTGTAGGCCTTTCACGTCAAATTTCACAAGGAGGCGGCATCAAAGACCCCCGACCGGCCACCCAGCCCTTTCCCGGCCACCACTCCCAAGTGAGGCGGCAAGCCATTGTAGAGTCAGTTTGGTTTCAAGAGTGTTTTTTCGATGGGGGAAAAAAAATAAAACAAAAAGAGGGGCAAAAAGGAAAAAGCGGTCCACCCGGGCCGGGGAGCAGCCAGTCCAAATCGAAGCACCAAACACAGTCAGAGGCCGGCCTGCTCGGGCCCACGGAGCATGTGGATGGAGCCTGCTGGCGATCAAAGAGGGGATGTCTGTGCATGTCTGTGCACATGTGTGTGCACACATGTGCATCCATGCAATGTGTACGTGTGTGCACGTGTGCATCTGTGCATTCATGCACTCTGCGTGTGTGCATGTGCATGTGTGTATGCTTGTGTGTGAACATGTGTGCTTCTGTGTGTGCACTCTGTGTGTGCATGCATGTATGCTTGTGTGCACATGTGTGGTTGTCTGTGTACACATGCGTGTACATGCATATGTGCAAGCAGGAGCATGCCATGGGTGGTGGCACCTGGCACATCCTTGCCCACCACAGCCATCTTCCATTTGCTTGTGTCCTTGTTGCTGTGTGTGACGTGTGTGGACGAGCCTGGCAGGGCTGAGCAGGGATGGGAAGGCCAGGACCATGACCCCCCCAACCTGCTGTCCTTGCCGATGGCTCTCTGCCAGGGTGGATGGGACATGCCTGGATGTGGGGATGGGGGAGGCTGCTCACAGTCAACTCGGCTGCCAGATGGTCCAGCAAGTTCGTCCTCGAGTTCAAAGCCTCGTCAACGAATTGTTAGGTTATTAGGTGAACTCTGTGAAGCAAGCCTTTTAATCCACTGTGGCTAATCCAGTGCGCTTTGTTCGCCGACAGATTCCACCGCGACAAAGGGGCTGGGACTCTGCACAGTAATCACGTGCCCAGGGCTTCGCTGCAGGGACCACAGGCTCCTAAGCAGCTGAGAGAGACATCGAAGGACAGCGAGGGTGGCAGGCGGGGGTGGGGGAGTGCAGGCGGTGGCCAGAGCCATCTGCGGCCCTGCAGCCAGCTCTTGGGGCGGCCCTTGGGGCACCCTGGGCTGTACAGCTCAGTCAGAGAGGAGAACTGATACCCAAGACAGGGCCATGAGAGTCCCTTGAACACCTGGAGAGGCCCACAGGACAGAGGCCACCTGGACCAGGAATGAGGGACAGCAAGGGCAGAGGCAGCGTGGAGGTGGGAGTTGGCCGGCTAGGGGTCAGAGTGGCAGGGGAGCTGGTGTGAGGAGAGGAGAAGGGAAGTGGCCTGAAGCTGCTGGGAAGGCAGGCTCCGGGGGCACATGGCTACTTCTGCTCTACCACCTCCCCTGAGGTGGTGGGACCCCCTCTGCTGGTCTCTGAGACACTTGATCAGAGCCCTGAGGGGCAGAGCCTGCTACCCTGGGCCACAACCCCCAGAAGAGACCTTGAGACCAGCAGGGGCCACTTTCCCCATTCTAGGAATTCCCACTGCCTCAGAGGCAGCAGAGGTGGGCCAGGACCCTCTCTTCACCAAGAAGGACACTCTGATTCAAAGAGGTCCTGCCTGCACCAACTGCTGATGTCCCCAAGGTCCCCACGCTAGCCTGCTCCCCCACTAAAGGCCTCCAGTGCCCAGTGGAAGGCGGGCTGACCAAGACCTTGAACCCTTCATGCCTACCTCAGGCACTGCTTCACCTTCTCCAGGCACCTGCCCTGCCTGGCTTCTGGACCCCCAGAAACATCCCTGGGGCCAGAAGTCTGCAAAACAATCATGGCAGGAAGGTGTCCTTGCTGCACCTCTTGGGGTGTGGAGGCCACCTGGTAGACTCTCTGAGCTGCTGAGCCCTGGCTAAATCCCTACCTGGCTGAGCCCCCAATACCTGGCCGAGTTCCTGCCTGGGAGAGCCCCAGATACCTGGCTGAGCTCCCCACTGGGCTATCCCCTACCTGGCCCCCACCTGGCATTGCTTTTCTCTTGGCCTTGGGATCCACCCCTGGGCTCCTGGACTCCAGCAGGAACCTGGTCTGTGTCAGGTCTGCTGGGTGGGCTGTCTGTGCAGGAGACATGGGTGGCAGTGATTGGGAAGCTCACCTGCCCAGGAATGAGTGTAGCCTGGCTGGCTGACCTGGTTAGGTGTGACCCATGAGGGTGCAGGTGTGGGGCCTGTAGGTTCCTGTCCTGGACTCAACCAGAGTGACCATAGTGGCATCAATGCCAGCAGTGGCCTCAGGCCTTGCTGCCAGCCCCTCTCTGGTGGCCCTTGTCCTTATGAAAGGGGGGTAAGGTGAGGTGGGACATGCCCCAAATGTGGCTGGCACCAGGTTATGGGAGCAGAAACCTCAGCTGCAAGGTGGGGTCAGGTGGCGGGTCATACACAAAGCTTCACCTACCAGCTGGAGTGGGGACATTTGAGGTGTTGGGGAGCAGTAGCATCCGCTGTAACCTCTGGGGTTGCTGGGAGAGTCACACCAGTGTTGAGGGCAATCCAAATGCCAGGTAGGTAGACAGACCTGCCTGTCAGGCATGAAGGGTGAGGGGAGCTAGGGACAGGAGGATGAGGGGCAGGAGCAGGTGTGGAGGCAGGTCAGGGCCAAGGTGGGCTGGGGGTCCAAGGGGGTGCACCCCTCAGGAAGGTCACTTTCTCCATGATCCCAGGCCTGGAACCCACCGGCCAGCCCAACACCCCCACCCTACAGGGCCTACCTTTGCTGCCGTCTCCCACCAATGGTTGACTGGTGCTGTCGATCGTTGGCAGGAAGATGTCACTCCTTGCATTTCCACACGATTGCAGAGGTAACACAGGATTCTCGTAGGCTGTTAGTTCATTTACGCACAATGATAGAGCCTGCCCACAGCCAGCCTCCAGCAATAGCCAGCATCAGTGCTGGGGGGTGTGTGGTCTTCATCTTCTGGCCTTTATAGACAAATTTTCTATTTTCACAAGAACAGGGAACTTGTGTGTTCTGTTAAAAAAAAAAAAAAAAAAAATATATATATATATATATATATCATGTTAAAATATGCATAACCTAAAATCGATCATGCATATTTAAGTGTATATTAAATATGATTATTTATCGTATTTATATAATACAATATAACTATGTTGTTGTTGTTAATGTGCCGTTGAGTTGGACCCTACTCATAGCGACCCCTCCTTGGGTTTCTGAAGCGGCATCACTATGGAAGTGGATTGCCCAACCTTCTTTCCGAGGAGTGGCTGGTGAGTTTGAACCACCAGCCTTCTGGTTAGCAGTCAAGCCTTAGGAACTACGCCACCAGAGCTCCTGTATCATTGGTTATTAAACCGTGTTGAGCAGCCATCACGTCTATTTGCAGAACATTCTCACCACCCCAAAAGGAAGCCCTGTAGCCATTAGCAGTCACTCCTCATTCAGCCTCTGCCTAGCCCCTGGCAACCACTAATCTGCTTTCTGTCTGTGTGGGTTTGCATACTGTGAACCTCTCACGTGAACAGACTCTATACTATGTGCTCTTATGTGACTGGCTTCTTTCCCTGGGCACCATGTTTTCTAGGTTCACCCATGCTGTGGGATCCATTCCTTTTCATGGCTGCATAGTATTCCAGACTTCGTCTATGCAGTCATCTGTTGGTGGGCACCTGGCCTGTTCCTGTGCAGTTTTGGGAGGTTTTCTCCTTGATGATATATATACTAAGCATATGTCTGCAGTGGGTGGGGGCACAATAGATGTCACTTATGGTGCCCCCTCCCCTCGCTGAGCTCAGAACCAATGGAATCAAGAGACTCGGTGATGGAGAGACGGAGCCTGGAGGCTCATGGCTGGGGCTGTACCTCTGATGAGTCAGGAGTGGGCCCAGGCCTCTGTCCCCCCACAGGGCACCCCCAGAGTGTGTGTGCATATGCACACACACACACAGCGGTGACCTCAGCATATGGGGTGGGGGTGAAGAGAGAGACCAGGGGGCTGACAGAAAATCCCTTCCCCTCCATGAAAACCAAGGAGATGTGGACAGTACGTGGTAGATCGGCCATCAGCCATGGCCATCTGGCCCCTGGTGCTCCGTCCGGGCAGTTGCCTCCTCCTGGACTTTGGTGGTGGCCAGTTTCCAGCCTCATCCACATTCATCTTGGCCACCCCATCTTCTCCCTTTGGACCACTGTCTAAGTATGTGTCCACAGATGAGTGGGACCGACACCCTCAAGACTTCGAGGTGTGCTTTCTTTGAGTTTTCCTTTTACACTCAGCTTCATTTCTGCTCTTGTTTTCCGTGCGGTTCCTGGATAGCCTGGCTGAATGGTGCTCAGGTCTCCCTGCTGAAGCCTGCAGTGTTAAGGTGCTCGTGGTGAATGGGGTGTTTGTCTCGAAAGCACTGCAGCTCTGCATGCGGGGTGCTCTGGCCCCACACCTCCAGCCTGGTCTCAGCACCCTGCCCAAGTCACCCTGCTTCCTCTCTCCACAGCCTTCCTTGTGGCCTCCCTGGTCTGGCTCCTGGTGGGGGTGTTTTGTGAGTTCACTCCCTCTGCCCCACCACCCCTGGCCAGTGCCGTGAGGCCTGATCCCCCCAACCCACAGCCATCATCCCCTTAGTGGGGGCTGCTGCCTCCCCCAGGCTTTCTGATCCCCTTCTTGTCCCTGCAGGCTGGAGGCCCCCAGGAGCTGGAGGCCCAAGGGCCCTGTTCTGGTCCCAGGGCTTGGGGAAACCCGCTGCCCTGGGCCAGGAGGAAGACGGGCATGGACGAAGCCCCGAAAGTCTGGCCTGGCCGCGGGGGCAGTTCTGCAGATCCAAGGCAAGCTCCGGGGCCCTTGTCTGGGAGCGGGCAGGGCCAGTGTCTGGGAGGGCCTGCTGTCTGTCCAGCCCACCAGGGTCACCTCCCCCCACGAGACTCTGCTTTGCCGTGAAGGTCGCACTTGTCTCCTCCGAAGTTCTGAGGCCGGACAGAGCAGGGGAGGGTGCACAGGGGTCTCCTGTAGCCTGCACTGGAGGCCTGGGTCGTCCACTGTCAGCTCAGCAGTGCAGCCCCTGCTCCCACTGCCTTGAGGGGTAGAGATGGCCTCTGGAGGTGGCCTGGGCCTTCAGGAGGCTGCGACCTTCCCCAGTTCCCCTCCTTCCCCAGTGCTTACCCAGGGCAAGCGCCGCAGTGGGGCAGCTGGGTGGGAGGTGGGGCTCAGGGTGCCCCACGCCAGGACTTTTGCCTGTTGGGAGTTGTGAAGGATAAGGGAGATGGGCAGCCAAGTCTGAATACTGTCCAGAAGATGAGGTGCCCTGGGGGAACTTGGGGGACAGCATGGGTGGAAGCATGGGGGTGGGCAAGTAACCAGACACATTAAAGGGAGACTGGTATGGGGGAGAGACCACTAGGGTTGACCAGGGAGACCTGAGGGGCTAGTAGGGACGGCCTAGGTGATGGCTGCTGGGGAGGGTGGGGTGTTGAGGATCCCTGATCCAGGATGTGGTGAGAGGTCCCTAATTGGTCCAGGCTGCAACCTCCTTGGCTATGAAATGGGGTACAGCTTCCTCTGGGGCTGCTGGGAGAATCCAGGGAAGTAGCAGGCCTGATACTGGCTCTGAGAAGGGGTGGGGGGATGCCACAACTGTTACACTTGGTGCCCACATCCTTTCCCTAGGGAGGTGCTGACAGTGGGCTGAGGCCTGAGTGAGGCTCCTGAGCTGGCCAGAGCTGGTGTCCTTGGGGGCCTGGGGCTGTGAGGCCTGTCCCTGAGACAGCCAGCCAGCCTCTGCAGACTCAGACCGAGCAAGGGTGCCAGAAGTGGCTGATGGGGGACACAGCACACGTGTGGTGGGACCACCCTAACTCCTGAGGCCAACCAGGAAGCCCCTGCCTGGTGCCTGGAGAAATCGAGGCGGGTGTCCAGCCTCCAGAAACTGGATGGTAGAGGCCTTGACCAATGGCAGTGCACAGTCCTTTGGTGTTGTAGCAGCCCCTGCCCAGTGACAGCAACACTTATCAAGTGCCTGGCCCTGTCCAACTTCCGAAGGCCTGGCGACCATGGGAGGGCAGAGCCCCAGACCACCTCCTCTGGATCCTGGCTGGCTGGGGGTCAAGGGACAGAGGATGGGGAGATGAGGGGTTGGACAGCACCAGGAAGCTCAGCCCCCAGCCACTGGACCTGTGTCCCAACCAGGCGGCGGACTGGGGATGTCTCCTCTCCAGGGCCCGTGTGGGCCCAGGCTGCCAACCTCACTAGTGACCCCAGCGGCCGTGGTCGCTGATCCAGGAAGCCCTGGTCCGGTCGATCCCTGGGGCTGCCATCAGTCGTGTCAATGGCAGAACAGTATGGGAGATCCGGCGTGGCCCGCAGTCCCCACATCCCACCTGCCCAGGTCTTCCTGGTAGTCCTTCAGGGACCTTCAGTGGCATCTACCTCACAAACCACCCTGCCGACGCCAAAGCCTAGGAGCAGCCCGGCACCGTCCCTCCCGGGACCGTGCCTCGGCCATGGCCAGCCCCTCACTAGGCCCTGCCTCCTCGCTTAAGGTCCCACCCCAATCTCTAGCTTCGCCCGGCGCTCTCGGTCCGCCCCTACGCCCTGGCTGCGTCTGGCGCTCTTGGCCCCGCCCCATAGCGCAGCCCCGCCCCACGCCCTCCGTCCCATCCCCTTCCTTCAATTCCCTCGGGCGTTCCTAGCCCCGCCCACACGCTCGGCCCCGCCCCACGCTCTCGGCCCGCCCCCACGCCCTGGCTTCTTCTCGCGCTCTTGGCCCCGCCCATAACTCAGCCCCACCTCACGCCCTTCCGTCCCATCCCCTCCCTCCAGCGCCTTCGGGAGCTCCTGGCCCCGCCCCTACGCCAGGCCCCGCCCCACGTTCTCAGCCTGCCCCCCACGCCCCGGCCACGCCCCCGCACTTCCGGACGGCGCCGGCGGGGGCGCTCGGGCCTGGGCTTCGGCGCTCTGGGCTCGGGC